AAAGTGAAGTAAAAAACACATCCTCCTGTGAAGATTAAAAACAGGAAAAACAAAACAAAATGAAGTTAGATAGAAGTAAATTCACTAATTCCATATCTTCTTTCCTTTTTGTTTCTTTTTTCCTTCTGATAGGAAAACTCCTGATCAGGGGCATCCAATCACATTAAACAAGACCTGAGGCACTGTCCTGTCTGAATAGATCATCCAAGCTATGAAAATCAACCAAGAAACAGATTGCTTCAACTCACCAAGAGAGCCTTCTTGACACAATTCCCGAAACTTTTACATCCCTGTGCTTTGCTATCAGAAATAAAATTAGCTTATGTTGAAAGGACTTACACTTGTCCAGGAGTAAACCTTGTCTAAGAGGAAATACTGTAGATTCATTAAAATAGACCTCAGTTTTCCTTTCTATTCTCATCCCTGCTGCAACTTGTTTGTTAGCTCCTATAACACTCAATATGTAACAAACAACAAACCATATAAAAACAGCTCTCAAAGGACTCTTCCAACAGAAGAGGGAATGAGACTGCACCAAGGATCCAAGCAAGAGGCATAAATAAGTTGAACCAATTCCCAGCCATTCCAACGACACATCTGTGACAGTTAAAAGAAATGGAAACCTGAGGAATCGCAGTCATGGACCTGTCTTCAACTTTGCCTATACATAGACCTCTCACCCCCTTTTGCTATACATGGCCCTGTTCCCCTTTCCCTGTACAACCTGCATTGGGCATCAGCTCAGAGTTACCTGGTCTTATGGAAACAAATGTCAGCTGAATGAAGCCATTAACATCTATTTGAACCCCTTTTACTAGATTTTTTTCTCCCCAAGTTCTACCACTAATTTCACCCTAATTTTCTAGCATCCAAAGCAAACAGCTCTACAGGATCACTTGCATGAATTAGTCCACTACTGGGTGGATACGAACATTTCAAGGCATCACTGTTCCTGATTATGAGATTCCAGGGAAGCCTCTCCCCCTCAGTTATCATAGGGTTCATGTTATACAGACCCCATGAACAGTGATCTAAGCAGCAATTTTCTTTCTCATCTGTTAAATGGGGATAATTATACTACCTTGCCAGGTAAGGTTTCTGTCACCAATGGCACCGCACTACATACAAAGGACTTAGTGGGGTGCCTGACACATAGTATATGCTCAGGAAATCTCAGAGGCATGATTTTGTAACAGCCAACAGCACACACTGTGGAATCATAATTTTAGGCGGACTAAAGAATTTCCCTTCATCCTTACATTACAAAATACGGTGTCTGTGCCAAAATAACACAACCACACATGCCATTAGTTGACAAATATAGGAAAAAGTAAGACTTGCTCTTCGGAAAAAAAATTTCATGGAAAACTCAACAAGCTAAAAAACAGACTCAAATTTCTATAGTTTCATTTTTATAGTGGTGCTGCAGTCCGTCACTTATATACCCCAGGGTACAGCCTAGTGTTTTGAATAAGCGAGCCAAAATACATTGGCTTTAAAAAAGATGGAAGTTTGGCTTTCAGATAATGTTTTCATTACCACTAGGGCAGGAAGAGTAACTTGAGAGCCTTGGGGACCTAGGCTTAGAGCTCATTTTAGTGCCTGGTACTCCTGTGGGCGGCCCGGTCTATTCATGTTTATAATTTCATTCCTCTCCATGTTCCCTGTCATGTCTGTGGGACTGAGCACAGAGGAAATCTCAGAGACCATGTAGTCCAGGGGATATCATACGCTTTGTCAAAGTAAAATAAACGTTTCCTGGAAAGAATTCCAATACAAACCAGAAAAAAGAGGAGTTTCTGTACTGACAGCAGGGGCTCTCACCACACCCTTACCTAGATGTGCCCTCCTGTTCAACCAACAGCTTAGCTTGAGCCTTAGAACTGAGGAAACAGCAGGCCCAGAAAGCAGAGACTCAGAGAGGAAAAACGGGAAGGCTGGCAGAGCTGGAACTGGGAGGGAGTTCCCTGGAGCCCTGGCCCAAGGCCCTGCAAGAGACCTTCAGGAAGAAAATATTATGGAGGATCTGCATGTCCAATCAAAGGAATCCCCTATGGCAAAGAAGTTGTCACTATAAATGAGTTCAGATTATGTATGTATAGTACTCTTTAAAATAAAATTTTTTATGTACTGGCCTATGTTCTCACTGGTTAGAGCATCTGCCTGCGCATCCAAGGATCAAGGGTTCCCAGCCTAGGGCTAGTACCTGGGTTGCAGGTTCAATCCCCTGCCCTGGTTGGGGCGAGTGCAGAAGGCAAACACTTGGTGTGTCTCTCTCACATTGATGTTTCTTTCCGTCTCTCTCTCTCAAATCAATTTTTAAAGTTTTTAATAAAAAAAAAAGAAACTTTTCGTATGAAATATGGGGCTTTTTTCAGTTATGTAACAGGCCTGCTAAAGCAGCATCAGAAGTATTATGTGGACTTGGGGTAAGACCATTGCAGTCAGACCAGTCTTGCTCAGATGTACGTGTTCCCAATTCTTATAGCATGTCTGTCAGTCACAAGGCCCCTTAGTCCATGTTCACTGTATTCTTCATTATGCCCCCTGCTGCTCATTACATGGCCCAAATCAGTCATCCAAGGTGTCAGGCTAGGGTGATTAGTTTTTAACCACTGGACCAAAGAACCTTATATGCATTGGAGAATAGAAGTTCTATAAAGTGAATATGCTGCAGGTTAGGGTCCTTTTGGAAAGACTCCCAATGTATCGACAGTTGTTGAAACCAGAAAGCAACAATAAAAGCCGATTTTGTGTGGACAAATGCCACTGCTATCCCATTTGCCGGCAAAAATGGAATAAATGCTCATATTTGATTCAACCTTGTTTCCACTTAATTGGCTGAAGTAGCGACAGGCTGTGTGGACCTATTGTGTCTGGTTTCAAACTGAACAGGCTGAGGTGAGAAGATCTGATTTTAAGACATGCTAATGACATAGTGAAATGATGACTTGCAAAGGGCCAAAAAACAAAACAAAACAAAACAAAACAAACCCCGATACAAAACAGTTGGCATATTATAATCAAGGACTAAAGATAGAAAATATATATATCTCCGCGAAAGTAAATTCTGGAAACATTTCACAATACTTACTGAACATTCACTAAATGCCAAGAACTCCCCCGAATGCTGAGGGAAGGGGCAGCAGACCTGCACTGCAGCCCCTGCTCTCCCACAGGGGCTGTGCTGCCATCTCTGGATCACAGGTCATTGCATATTCAACTTAAGATGAACAGAAACGTTCAAACATATTGCAATATGTCTGCATTATTTTTCAGTCAGATAACTAAAAATGTAAAAACGACCTTCCACATTGTATAAATGAGTTTAAAAAGAGGTTGAAGTCATGACACAAGCATCAGCCTTACCATATTTAAAATACACCTTGTGTTTGATGAAATATCTCTAAGAAACTGAGCACAAAATAGTCTTAATGTTCAATATTGGATGATGGGACTGTGGATTGAGTAACTTTATCTGTCCCCCAAATTCTCTACAGTGCGCTTTGAGTGACTGTCATAACCGAAGCATATATTCATAAAGGCCCAGAAACCCCCATTTGGGGAAGCGCAATGACAACTCCTTCAGAGAAGCAGAGATAAACGTTGCTAAGCGACCTAGGCAGCAGCTCAGAAGAAAAGGGGATTTGAAAAGAAAGCGTTCCCGTGTACACAGTACAAGTTTTCCCTGCTGAACCCACTGAAGCAGCACGTCAGCCAAGATGGCTGCTGGGGCTGCGGAGGCCCAAACAGTGTCGGCCCATGAAGGGAAAAACTGCGAGAAGTTTTTTCGAGCGCGAAGGGCGGGGAAGAGGCGCGTGGCGCGGAACACGATGCACTACTGCCCTCTGCCGTCCAGAGAAACCCAAGGGCACAAACTGTACGGAAAATCCGTCTTCTGCCGGAACATTTCGCGCCAAGTAAGAGACCCCAAGGCTGCGGAGCTCAAATAAAATGAGAGGGGGTTTCTGCAAACAGAAGAGAACCTTCCAAGAAGGCCCCAGCAAGGCCGCAACCCGGGGCCCCCCTCGGAACCACAGCAACGGGGCCTGACCTAACCGGAAGCACGTCAGGGGGCCGGGGCTGCGGCCCGATTGGCGGGTTCGGGGCATGCGCGCCGGAGCCCAGTGAGTTCGCTGCCAGTCTCCCTGCCAGGGTGTATTGGAGGTTTTGTCTTGGCTCAGGCTGCCACCGATCAGCTTACAGATGGGACCCGTGTTGTCCAGGTCCTGTCCCCCAACTGCCCCAGGCGCCCTAGCGTCCCACCAGTGGCATCGGTACTAATCGCGTCTTCATCCTCTTCCTGCCCTCCCCCTCCTAGTCTTGAACCAGCGGGCCTCCTGAAATGTTCTGCCTTGGCCATCA